AACCGGCACATTTCTGTGTGCTCGTGAATCATGGGATGCCATCCGTCATGGCGTGTTAAGCATGCAGCTCGACGACCCATCCTCGTCCCATCGTTTCAGTGACACTAGTCTCCTTTCATGGACAACGTCGTTATTATGGAGTTCCCTTTCGGGCAACATTGCGGGAATTGTGAAGGCTTAACGTTTTTGCCTCTGGTAACGCCATTGATACTTCGTCTTGTGTTAGCGTCTCAAGGCTAAAACTGCGTGTACTCCTGCCCAAAGTTTGTCCACTTGGTTAGACATAGTAGAGGAAACACAGATTCGAAATCGAGGAGTTGGAAAAATTAGCTTATTTCGCCCTTTGGTTCGTACTAGAAACCCATCCTGCATTAGTGAGTACAAGGTGGAGGCTCCAATAGCGAAGAAAGGTTCCTCCGTCAACGCTAGTTCTAGAACCAATCCGCGGTTGCGAGTTACACAGTAGTCACTGGTACATTGTGGAGAAAATGCTGAAACTTAACTATTTCCGCTGCAAGGTGATTGAGCGTTTTTGAAAGAAATACAACTATGGATAGAGAACAATCGGACGGTGAAGTGCCAGGCTAAATTATTACTGTCTGAATCGTTTACATATGTTGTTATAATACTCGAAACGTCACTGCCTTTGGTTGTCACAGCAAAACGGGTGTGCATTGATGCGGTTTTGCCTTCGGAACGTGCGTATGATAAACGAAATGCAATTCTCACCTGAGTGACTCCAAGGCACTCGACTGGGTGGATATTCGTGACTAACTTGTAGTTCCCCGAATTAGCAGCTAAATCCAGTTAACTTGAGAGCTGCCGTATCATATCTGTCATCTAATGATCTAATGGCTGCCAGCTATCTGGCATCACAGAAGCTATCAGACATGCATGGCGCTTATGGCCTATACAAATGGTGGACTAGTGTTGGCCACCTCCTCATCAACGGAAAATGACAGTTAAAGCGATTCGTTGTACACACCCTAACCACCTATGTGTTTGCGATAACACATAAGAATGAAATCATACCGAGTGCGCAAAGAACGCCCGTCGTGGGAGCCGATGTGTTAGCGGCATGGGTAACACATCGCCCAACCATCAAAACCTAGTGCATAAAACAGTGATGGTGAAAAGTGCACTTCCTCTCCCTACACTACGAACAAGGCGTTGGACAAACCCATTCCTCGCATGACGTTCCCAACAGATATGAGATACCGTGAGAAGGCAGCGGTGGTGGAACATAGCCGAAATTTATGTGTCTATCGCTCTGAAAGGCCAAATTGAACAACGGTACAATAGGGTTGTATGAAAGGCTCTATCGTACATCCACTTTTCAGGTCAAAAGCGAAATGGCGCTGGTGCCACAAGTGGCGAAGATTAGCAAACCACCAGTTTTGTGTTGCGGTTCGTGATTTAATTTCAATCCCAAGGGCGCTGATACAGCTGACCAGGTAGTTGAATTTCCGAACGATGCCTAGCTTATGCCCATTAAGTGTTAGTGCATGAGGTGGTCTCTGCCATTGTTGGAAGAAACCTTTGCAGTTCGACGGTGCCACACAAAACCTAAAATGACCAACAGCCAGTTTTACTTTGTCCAATGCTGTTTGGTAGGTTCATGAGCTATCCCAGCTTAAGGCAATATAATCGGCACACTCCAAGTCAATAAGTCGATCACCTAGAAGCAACTCCTAACTGCAGATCGAATCCAGTGTACGCAGTTTCCATGCCTTCGTCAATGGCGAAGTTAAAAAGGTGAGGTGACAGCAGGTATTCGTGTCTCACACCAATGGAGACACTGAAGGGCAGCAATAGCTTGCCATAAGCCTTCATTTCGACCAAACTACGCCCCTATAGTGCCCTGATAATTCTTACGTACTTCTCGAATATACCAATGCAATAGGGTACATCGATCTACCAAATAGTAGGCGTATTTCGTGTTGAGAAACTCGACCACGGTGGACGCCCCGATAATTGGCACATAATGAAGACGGGGTCGATGCAGTCTCGATTCCGCTTAAACCCGGCCCGCTCCTCACGAATCCACCCTTTCCAGGTTCCAAAACGATAAAAGCATGTAACTTGGTGATTGAGTTCCTAGTGATACCTCATTTCGATAGAAGTTATCCTTCACCACGTCATCGTTACAATTTGTGGGTGCGTAGGCAGTGTTGAGAAATAGTTATTTATTGGGACCGCTCGACTTCGAAGCCTTGAACGAGCCAGTCAGTCTGACGGCGCACTGTTGATTGGGGCACAGTTTAGCAGCATATCTTCAGCCCGGAGCCGCAAAACCATGCGCACACTGGCTTGACCGACATTTTCGGACAGGTACAATGCGAAAGTGTCGCCAGTGTCGTATGTGGGGGATCGCAGGGTGGACACGGATCCGGGGTCATTTACCCGGGTTTCCGATAAGCAGCAGACATCGGTCTCCAGTGTTCGAGCAAGTGTTGCCTGTTGTCGAAGCTGTAACAAAGTGCAGACGTTGAGACATGCAAGTTTTCTAGAGGATCGAAGAGTCCAGATGATAGCGGATGACCTGAGGTGATTCGCATGGTTACGTATGGGTTTTTCGGTGCCATGCGAATGCCTGTAAATCGAACCTAGGATACTAGTGATTATCGAAGCGATACAGGGGAGCGCCAAGAATTGGGGGTGGTGGTTGAAAATAGGAGGAAACAAGTGCAGTTAAAAAGGGACGATAACGTTGCAAAAGGGTCAGAAAGGGAATAGGAGCACGGAAATACCTATGCCCTTATCCAGTGGGTTCGATGAAGCAGATATAACGCGCTTGACTATCCTGTGTAACGTCCAGAACATCAAGCAGTTGTCTGAAACAGAATTCATTGCATTGCGTGGATGGAGTACTATCAGGTTGCCTAAGACTAGGTAAGAGGTCGTTTAGGGATACTAAACAGAATTTGAGCCAATGAACCGATTTCAGTTACTTATTTTACCCTTAGATATGATTGTAATGGTCTGAAGAAATCATCGGAAACAATTGTTCACCTATGGTCTCGTGTTCTTTTGACACTAAACAGACCTTTGGTTTTTAAACCTGACCGCACTGCAGTGGGAGTTTAACAATGGGCTACAGGGAGTCCGTTTCAAGCAATGCGGAGCCGTCCTCACTCGAACCCCCGACCTAGGGGACCAGAAGACTGAGTCTTTCAGGCCTCCAGCTATTGACAAAGGAAGCATCAGTGACGGGAGGTACGGAAACAACACCGAGTATGGCTCAACTGGTCGCTGAGGAAGACAAACCATGGCACCACGTTAAGGTCCAATCTCATCGAGACGGAACGAAAGGATGCATCCTAATTCTATCAATTGGTTTCACCATGAGGCGTTAATACGCAATACAAGCCACCTAGATTATGTACTACCTTCGGCATGTTTCCACCTAACCGAATTCCTGTTGGGCGAGGCACGACCTCCTACATCGGACGAAGTGAACAGTTGGGCTACAGAAGGTTAACATTAACCCAGACGGGATTCGATGCCCCAGCCTACATTTATCGAAGGGGTCGAGGTGATCCATCTTTCGCATATTATGTGGCAACTGGAGAGAGCAAGGAATCTTGAATGAGGTGTTAGCGCAGCTAACGCATGTGCTTGGGCAGTGCCGGGAGTGCTTTGGAATAAGGGAAGCAGCTTTGCGGATGACCGTTGATCAGATCTTGGCACAGCGTAGTCGTGGTACATAATCTTCGGTTCATTTGGGTATTCATTCCTTATAGCTAATTAAGCCACGACTTCTTGTTGCTTCGAGCGGTACTCATGTCTCAGCCATAGATTTGTGTGTGTATGAAGGCGAGGAACCATTGTAAACGGGTGCAACAATGAATTGTTTAGTGAAAGCGTGGGAGGAAATTAAATCCTCCGAACTCATCCGCGTGATCATCCGCTGTAGAACACAAGCACTGTGGTGAACTAGGTTCAAGTTTGCAGTTAGTATCAGAAAGATGAAATTAGGTGGGTAGGATTGTTGAATTCTGGATCACCAGGGTACCTGATAGTGATCATAGTAAAAATGCAGAAAGAAATAGGCCTGCTCCAATAGATGCAACTGGAAAGAGGTTGAAATGGACATGTGTCTGAATAAAAGAGGGAGTGCCGGTGAGTGAATGCGCGAGACAATCGTCAACTCCCAAGCATCCACGTGGCAGCACCCGTGACCAATTGGGAAGGAAGGCAAGTATCGATGTCACTCTATCAGGGCTGTGGACCACTTGCTTTACTGGTCCCCAACAGTCGGACAAGGCCGTACGGAACATGCGTATCAAGTTAAAAATCGACAAGCACAGGAATGAGCTGATCGGATCGGTCGGGCAATGTAAATTCAAAAGCTGTATCTCCAACCGGTACAAACTAGTGGTACCGGATTTAAAGCGCATCGCTCACCCTCTATGCTTCGAGCGTCGAGTGGTGAAATCTCGGAACATGTTGCCGGAGACGATAGTCGAGGCGAAACTGGTGTCGGAATTTATGAGCTTCCTCGATGCTGAAGTAGCGATATTTCAATGTTACACTATTTGTGAGCGGCTCAAGTTAGGCAAACTGAGTGTTAGCTGAGCTTGACGAGAGGAGTATTCCAACGGAAGTTGGCCATTAGCGGCGTGTAGAACGCACACGCCACTGATAAATAATAACATTCGCTTATAAATAAAGCAGCCAGTAGACATCTTTTTAGACTATTCCGGTCGTGGATAGCAGCATGAAGGGTTAGGAAGTGTAACTGTCGAGTTTTGTGCTACCTAGGAAGTGATTCGATTGATATTGACTATCATCGTACCGTGGTTACTGCTAGTTACTCATGAAATGTTTCAATCGTGGTACCTCTAGGACTTGCACTATCGAGCTCCATTCTCTCTGCGCATGCTGACGGAAGCAGTGAGAGCAAAGCGGTCAACTATTTTAGTATGCAAAGGCAGATGGAGCGAACAGTCACGTGTGCTGATTGGACAGATGGGCAAATTAGTGTCCGTAATACTTACTTATCTTAACATCCTCTTGATCTTCATCTCTGGTCGGGCAGCTCGGATGCTTGTCGATTGCTCTCTCCACCAGACGCCTCAGAGATTCCCTGGACAAAAGGTAACCAGCACCTCCGGAGAAGAATCCGCCGTGACACAGCACCTGTAATATGCAAACGCGAACTTACCTAAAGCCATAGAAATAAAAGTCATTACATTCACATTGAAGAGAAGGGGTAAATGGTTGCAAAGGGTGTCATCATAACGTACCCTAACGAATGTGGCCGACTGTTAACATTGCGGAATTAAGTGCAAAAGATTAAGTTGTTGAACTAAGTGCATGCTAGCCTTCTAAGTACTTGTATCATGTTGTTGATTAAGTTAGAGAACAATTATGTATCCCGGCTAGGTGGGCCCATGGGAACAGTGTGGTTTATGGATACGCTGACCAAACGATCCCAAATGGTGGATTGACGGGTAGCGGTACCCAATCATCAATGATCGACGTCCTTACAGTTGTTGATGGTGCTGGTGTTGCAAGGGTACAAAATATGCGTTTTTGCTGAGAAAGATCGATATAAAGAAAAAGGTCAAATATAGGTAAGAGCACGAATGGGTGTTGCATAGATCGAGGTAATGTTGGGCATGCGGTCTAGGTACGAGCTTAGACGATACGTTTCTTGAAGCACCCGTGATTAAAAAATATCTTTCTCCCGACAGAAAATGAAGAGAGAATCATAGTCAGAAGTAAGTAAAATTGACGGTGTGGCGAGGTCTTCAAATTCGGTCGTTGCTGTTCTTGTCGGAAAATTAGTGTGCCATATAGACCGCACATTTTATATTCTATTTGTAGCTGAGACAACCTGCTTATTTTTCTGAAAATCTTTCAAGATCAATCATGTTCTACTCCGTCAAGCTCTAGAAACGTTACGCGTTACTGCCTGTCATAAAGCCAGGAACACCTTCAAAAGATCATTAAAATATACCTCGGAATAAAGCGAAAGCATGGTGCTGGTTGTCAATCAAGCTTTAGCCGTTGTTCTGTCCATAAAGCGCGTCCCACTGATACGTGCCAGTAATATGCGCTCGCTGCTTGATAAAACCAGTGATCTCAGTGTCATTATGCAGCGAAATGAGTAGGTAGGTACAGGAAGCATTATATGCCAAGAACATTGGTTACACACTGAGGTGGAAAATGGAGCTATTAAACTCGATGGTTCTTTTCCCCTCGGAAAGCCCCAATTTCGTGGTGGTGGCATTATAACCTACGTTTATCTACGTTAGTGCAATTCAGCAACCGTACTATTCACATTTTGACTTCTATAAGCTGTCATTTAATTGAATGCAAACTGAAGTACTTAAGTTCCACCTAGCACTCGCTGGAAACGTCAACATTGCTACTGACACATCTGTGTCAGGGTTGAAACTTTGGGGGGACTAAGTATCCTCAGTGCAGTTGCTTAAATTAACTGGTTCTGTTTGTATTGTTGCTGATGACTTAAATAGAAAGTGTACAACATTACTGAGGACAGTTGGCTTGATAGATCTAGTGACACTGTCGACCAGACGAGATACCCAGTTGGACGCTGTATACACAAATAAATGGCATTTGCTTTGCTTACGAAAACGGGTTCCATTGAGCAGATCAGACCATTGTGTTCCCAAATCACGTTCAATCATACGCAGTAGATTTAAATTTTTCCCTCTGACTAGGCTCCCTTACAAAATTATCAAACGGTGAAATTGTTCCTTTAAAAATATCAGAAGGTTACAGAAGATGTGTTCTCCAGCTGATTTTTCGGTCTTCAGCGACGAGGACCTGCCGCTTCAATGTGAACATCTTACCGACTACATCAAATATTGCCTTAACATGTGTTACCCAATTGAAATGATCTACCTAAGGGTGGATAACTTTTCAGCAGCACTGTTAAAGCGACTTCGAAGAATGAAGGATTGGCCTTACAACTGCAAGATGGTTAGTCGTTTTTGTGAAGATTTGTCGCAGCTAGACGCATAGAGATGGCCATCACACATACAGGTGGCTGTCTGCCTGTGTTTACCTGCGACGAGTCTACACAAAAACCCAATAAATTCCCCTATTACTCATTAATACCGGTTACTCGTGTCAACAGCGTAACCTCAGCAATTAAATCTGAGATAAAACGGCTAAACCACTTATATGCCGAAGTGGTTTTAGGTAAACTTAATTGCCGCGATCTATAGAGGCTTTTAACGTGCCTCTGTGGTAAGAGCGTTTGCAGCCAGAGCACAGAAGGGGATGTTGAAAAACTGAAATCTGTGTTTAGTTCCGCCTCACCAAGCTCACTGCCCTTACCGTCCATCATAAGTTCAAGTCAGCCTGCACCCTTCGACAAAAGTAACGTTCACAAGAGACTAAAATTATTAAAGTCAAACAAAGCTAGTGGCCCAGGTGCTCTCTCACCACTAGCTTTGAAAGAGTCTGCTGATTCTCTCACCTTACCTTTAACAGATCTCTTTAACAAATGCCTCACTACGGGTGTGATCCCGGACATTTGGAGATCGGTCAGCATAAACCCAGTACCTAAAATGGACTTCAAAAGTATCGTCCGATTGCGTGTATACCAGTGCTTCTTAGTTTTCGAAAAACTGCTAATTCCGCGGATTTTTACAGCCACTCCTGAGGAAGATATCTTCCAGTTTGCACATGGACCCCAGCGCTCTACATTGGATGTAGTGGCATATCTTATTCATTGGATCACAAATGTAAATCCGTACGGCTTCTCTTCCTTTAGTATTCGAATGCCTTTGAAAGTTTGTATAGGTCAATACTGCTGAATTTGATATCCGAAAATAGCGTTCACCCCGGTGTGCCAAATCTGTAGCATAACTACTTTGCGGATCGTACTCACTTCACCGAGTCAAACAGAAAGATATCCTCCGTCCTCCGTGCCGACTGTGTTGTTCTGCAGGGAAAGATCTTATCCCCTTTGTTATTTTCCTTATATGTTGAACGTAACCCTATACAAATTACCTTTCTAGGATTCAGATATGCTGATGATGTTGTGCTGGGATGTCTGGCCCCCACTATCCAGGATTCCATATCACCTCAACTTGGCTTGAAAGATCTGGTGAATTGGTCATCATACATATCTCTTGCACTTAAGACTTCTACATGCAGTGACATACTATTTTCTTTACTTCGTTTCGTAAGTTGGTCTCTCCTATATATCTTCCCCGCGCTTACTGTGGACGAAAATCCCAAGCCTAGATCATCCACTGTCAAGTATCTCGGCGTCATTTTGTCCCAGAAGTATTCTTGCTGCACGCATCTGGAAAGCTTCCTAAAATGTCATGATACTTTTTTGAGGCCCTCAGACTTCAGATGCATTCAACAACCCGTCCTTTAATATTCAAGTTTGTGACATCATGCATTATTCCTGGTTGGTTACAGCGCTATCCTATCATTTTCCCTGGACTGCTTCAGATAAACTACGTCTTATTCGTACGATCTATAGAGCACATTACTGGATGTGGCGGCTTGTCTAGAGATTTTATGTTGCTTTGATCATTTCTAGAAATCTCGGTGCACAATCTAATTTTTCTTCTGAGGTACTTACTGATCGCTTTCATCTACATCACGGTGATCTCTCAAAAGCACTATTCTACACGTTCGAAATTTTGTTCTCCCTCATTTCAACGTACCGTAATACTGCCAGGCTTGTCTTATCTATCACGTTTGCATGTTGACTCAGTGAAATTCATAAACATACGCACGAGCGATTGCTGCAATGACAGCTGTGCATATTTTTCACCTTTCTCCTCAATTATACTCATTGATATTATCATCCATTTTGTCTGCAGTGGTGTTGTAAATATTGGAAATTAATACATAAGGATTCATAAAGCTTATTTTGACCTGACTTTGACTTGTAGTAAACCGACAGAACTCCAGACACATTTTCGCCAAACATTTTCGAGTAGTGCAAGACACATTAAACTCAACGCCACTACGTAGTACAGAAGCGGGAGTAAGTGCAGGCAGCGTTGCACTCCACGACGGGTGTCGTACTTATTTGCAATCGCAGTCCTGTTCACTCTGCTTGGCGAGAGCAAATGAGTGCGACACCGGTAGTCATAGAGTGTTGTGCTACGGGCAGGCAACAATCAACATTTATCCGCTGCAGTTGAGGTGCCAGTGCCAGAATTGACCGAGGTGTACTTCGACTTGCATTGTAGCCCAAATCGTGAATGCTCGTGGCAGTTCACACACACACGTATATATATATATATATATATATATATATATATATATATATATATATATATATATAGTGCTTCCAAACGACCCGTATAGCCGCAACAGAGTGCAACACCAGCACTTTCGTGGAGAGCTTACACGAGTCCAAAATACCCACATATACATTGCCAGAACAGCGGAATCATTGAAACGACAACCAGCTACACATCGCTGAATGCGTATACGCCCGAGTTGATGTGCACTTGCTGAACATGCTCTCAAACGGCTGTATAAAGCTTACCTTGAGTTGACTTGACTAGTCGAGTGTCTCAGCGTCATCTACCCACTATCTGCCGCGACCACCAGTCGGTGTGAGTAAAAGCGCAGTGGAGCTATGCACACCTCGTTTGTCTGAGTAGGCATAAGTGGGAACAACTCTGTGAATGCATTCTATGCCTCTGTGGACTCATGCAAGACGTAATGCGCCACTTTGCCTCAGGGCACCCATGAATTAAGTTCTTCATCGTACAGTGCGGCTAAGACGCACTCAAGTGGAGTTATCAGCTTTGATTAAAGCTCGAATGTAATCATTTGCAGGTTCCAGATGCCACTCATAGGACAAACTCTATGCTCTGCCAACTGATCAGTCTGCTGCATATTCACATCTCAGGGGTACCTACGTCAAGTCAAGAAAGCGCCATTGAGGGGTCACTTTTCAGCCGTAGTACAAATGCCATTAACATGACAAAAATGTAATGCGATAGCGGCAAAACAACGGCAAAAGAAAAAGTTTAGTGAATAACCACCTGAAATCAGTGACTTAACTTGAGTACCGACCTTCGTCGTCCGCATTCTGTGGATCAAACTGAAGAGACGCTTAGGTTTAAATGAGTTTGTCCGATCTATTCTATGTTACTTATATTCCAAGTTTATGCCGCTCATGCTTTCGCCTCCAGAGATAAAGATGATGACATCCAGGGAGTAGTTGAGGTTAATATGGATACAAGGGTTTAAGAACCCCATCAGTTCCATTGCGCAACTCGACTTAGGCGTGGAATTGTACTCATTTGCATTGTCTTATCACGCAGTCTTCACCTATACCAACACTTCCGCGCTACTGAAGTCGAATTTATTCCAGTCCTCTTGGGTTTTCGCTGGGATAACTCTTATGGTTGTCCCGCACTCACGCTAGGTGAAAAAGCAAGAGGATGAGCAGCCTACCCAACATACCAGTGTTTCGAATTATGCACAGCAATTGGTGGCTTCAATTATTTAAGCTACTAGATAACGAATGTGCAAATAACTGCACGACCGTGATCCGAAAGATTTGTTGTTGTTAAAATAACTTTCGTGGAACATTGGTAAGAACTGGGAACTAGGATGGCAATGTGCTGACACCAACCAATCTGTTCAAGTTCCGTGATACATTACGTGGTTACATTACGTGATTACAGAACCACGTGGCAGACGAATTACCTTAGCTCCAACAGAAATGATAGGACAAAAGGAGCTCACAAGATATAACTACATGTGGCCAAACTATGAAAACCAAGGTACCCACATATTTCAGCTAATTCGCAAGAATAATATGTTGGCGTAAGGACAGAGCAGGAGTTTGTGATGCGTCGATCGGTCAGACAACCAGCAATTGTACAAACACAAATAAAACTACAAAAGCTCAATTCACATCAGAGACGGCATCAGCGACGTAATTGCAAGGCGATGACAAGTCATATATTGCAAAACTTAGAGTCGTGTTGTTTTAACGGCAGGAAGGTGAGATCAAGCGAAGACGTAAGTATTATTGCCGGTCAACCATACATCGGAATATGATTGGCAGGACGCCAGTCTCGAGGCATGTCTCGGTCTGGTTTAGGCAAATTCAGAAAACCCCCGCCAAGCGCGCGTCTATAGCTTACGCAGCATGGGTTAACGGACGCGAGATTAACCACTGTACATCGCTTTTCGAAGTGCCTCGTTGCCGCGGTTGTAACCACCCCTCTCTGGACGGTAACGATAGAACGTTTGAGACGGTTTATACCTCATTGTCCAGGACATGTAAGCTATCATGATAGATTGGATCCGTGAATGTGTTAAACGTTGACCAAAGCCACTGGGCCCTAAGTGCCGCACTAACGGGCATCAGACATCATTTTCATATCAGTGGCAATGAAGCTGAAAAGCGGATGAGGAGCTCATTCTGCTACATTAATGTATGCAAGAGTACGTTATTAGTCCTATGATGGCAACGCAAGTTTTGAGGCAGTTGTATTAAAGTTTGGCCAGAAGCGAATTTATTAGTTCAGAGGGTGAATTTGAAAGACCCGTATGACGCAGATAGAGCAGTTAGTTTTTGGCCGCATCTCAACACGGAAGCTGATAGTTAGAAGAGTACCTAGCCTGAAGAGTGAGGGGTTACAGATGCGGATGAAGCAAAACTTAGCAAAGCAAAACAAGCAACAAATTGCTGGACATATCCAGCAGCTGCATGGCCACGACGTGACTAGCACAACTGACAGAACGCAAGCAGAAAAGACATTTTAGAAGTGCCATCGACCAACTGACTCTGTACAGCTGAGTTCGCGCTATACGAGGATGCGGCAGATGTACTACCTCTGCTGGGATAGTTGTCTTTTGATCCCGGAGGCTCACACTCAAGACTGGGGGGTAGGGCATAAATCATGATCAGTCACCTCACCGTTATACATGATAGCTTGGTTCCTCTACCGCTTGGGCAAAAGCCAGGGTGGAAAATTTGAGAAGCAGTAGCGAAGCACTCGAATGACTACACTTTCATGCTACATTTCTTCATTCCATAGACGGCGTGTGAGTAAGCAGTCAACTCTCGTTTCGCGACAACCAACTGGAGGTCACGGTTGCAAGTGTGGATTTTCTTCACTTAAACTGCTAGCACAAAGTGTGTAGGCCAAACATGTTTTATGTGAAGGAGAAACAAGAGTGACGTTGTGACAACATGATAAATGCATGAGGCATGCGTTGTGCAACTAAAGTCCTGGGCACTCACGTTCCAGCGGTATCCCATCATGAAAGGGTCGTCTGGCGAGTGGTGTCGCAGCAGCGCGCGTAGGTTTTCCACAACCGCATACGTATCATCGTCCGCCTTGAAAAAATAATCGTAATCATCGATGTAGTGATACAACCTCCGTAGGATGTTACGCATTTTCACCCACAAATGGGATCGGACTTCCGGCAGTGACATGTTGAGGACTGAAATAGAGAATATTAGTACCAAGAGTTAAGGTAAGTACGCCGAAATACAAACGTACAAAAAACCGCTTTGTAATAATATCGGAAGATGAAGACTGTGGGATGACAGTCATTTCGTGCATGCTCTTCGGCCACCTACGTGCAACTAACCAAGGATTCATGCCCAGTCAAATGCCGCACAGCCCCAAACTCCTCGACGCCATGGCCATCGATCGACTGCGTGTGACGCACCACTCGGAAAGCAATTCATCCCCAAACGATTTCATGTGACCATGTGTAGCATCCTTTGTTAATTTCATACACACAGCCGAAGGGTATGACGTAACGGTAGTGTCAACCCACAGTCTTCCTCTTCACATATGCTTATTTGGAATAATAAAGGAATTCTGTTTCAAATCCACTTGGTATACAGTCTTCCAAACATTTATAAACGCTGTTGATGATGGTAGGGAAACAGGCGAATAAGCAGTAAAGCAGGTGAAATTATGCCTCATTTTATTGCTGGGGGAAGGACCTTACGCTGGTTTGATGGGTGAAGTCGCGGTTTTCATCTTTCGCAAAATGTACACCGTACACTGCGCCTAAGATATATTCGCGCCTAATATCCTCTAGATGTACTTGGATGGAAGCAGCATGTACGTTCTCCCTCCCCAGTATAGACCAAATACTTGATTTGTTCTTCATCCAAGGCTTATCCACAGCTTCTGCCGTTGCATAGGACAAATTCTCTGGAAGCGATCTCAGGATCGACTTACTCTCCTCCCAAAGCCGATACTCTGAACCTACCACAACAACCTGAAATCCCATATAGTCCATACAATGCTCCACGTTGGAATCGTTTTCTACTGTTCCGAGATGGGTTAGCTGGTGACCGAGTGGTCTGAGTGGCTTGCAGTCATATGGTTACCGGTTCGCATTCGCGCAGTGGCAGGTTTCCTCGCGGTATACGCAGCCCAAGCGCAATTATTGGTGATCATGCGGCAGCAAAACGTCGTGACGGCGTACATCTGATGATTACTTGACTCCTATTCTACTTCCGAAGTCGCTACAATGGGACTTCTCTTCCTAATGTACTAGTGGGTGCTGATGAGTTCTACAAAACATCGAACAGTGACCAAACGCTGTCTTCCGTGTAAGGTATCAGCGTGTTCCCTGTAAAGCGAAAGCAATTTCCATCCTCAGTAGAACCGATCGTAAAGGCGCCCAGCTTCGTAGACGCTACTAGAAAAGAAAAGACCTCATTCTAGTTAGTAACCAAAGGTTCAGCGAACTAAAACATTTCCGATGACATAAATTTACACTGATGATAGGTAAGTATGATAAAAAAGATGAAATTGCGAAGTTGATGAAACAAGATCACAGAAAGCCCCACAATTTCCATCCGTGGTAAAAGTCTGCTAAACGATCCAACTCATACGGGTGACGCTTCTAAATGCTTTCGTACCATCGTTAACACCAATACTAGTTGTCGTGCGCAACTCCTGCTTCCGCATACCGAGGATAACCCTTGCACGGTCAAATTCGATCTCTGGGACACTAAACATGTTATTTCTTTCTGTAAGTTATCTTGGCATTGTGGACCTACTAATTCACCGTCAACCCTGATAAACATGCTTGGCTGCATGCGATTCCGTATTTGTCTGTCACTGCGGCCTCCACAGGGACAACCACAGGACGGTTGCGCCTACAGAGTGACCGTGATTGGCTTAGGTTGCACCACCAACAGCTCTATCCACACACCCCATATCCGGTGTAAACCCGAAGGAATAAGACCGGCAGGTATGTGGATGGGAGGCACTTTACATCAACGAAGCCCGCCCGCCCACACTCCCTCTCAGTCAAACACACAAGGCGATGGTTATGCCGCAGCCGCTTCACACGCAAACCATGTGAAAGGAACCACAGTTCGAGCGTAACACCGTCACGAAGACAGTGCACCCCCTCCCCAACAGCAACGACCAACTGTCTCCTGAAGGCAATGTAATCGAGGCGCAGGGTAATAAATAGGTAGACATAGAGGCACTGATATTCATATATTAAGAATCGAGAACAAAAGTTCAATAGTTCAATAGTATATGATGGTATAGAAAGTATAAATGCACAAGACCCGCAGGATGGGAAATGGGCAAACAAAGTAAAAGCAAAAGATATTCCAACGTAGGTAAATCGTCAGTAGTAAAGACATCACGTTTTATCACACTGTTGTGCAGTGTTTAGCAGTAAGAGGAAAGTCTAGAAGTCTCTCGAGTGTCACGATGTCTAGTGCGTTCACTATATGTGTCGGTAGGGTATTTCAGTGAGAACAGATTATAAGAGGGCAAAAATACTTTCTACAATCCAATCGAGTGTTACATCACTAGTTTCAGTTGCTGGCCTCGACATTGTTTGTAAGATGCTAGGGTCAACAGTGATGCACATGGGTGCTCGCTTTCAGTTGGTATCCGATATGTGAAGAGGAGAGCCCCACGAAGCCTTGGATATTTTGAGGAGAACACACCAAGTAAACGAAGACGCAGTTCGTAATTGAGACCGGATAGTTAACGTGTCGCCTTGGTAGCTCTTCAGGGGTTTCTCCAAGAGACGAATATATCGTTTTAACCATGGATGACAGGCCTGAAAAGCATTTTCCACATGGGGACAAAGATATGTGTTGATAAACAGCGGTACTAGGCGTCGCTCAAAAGTGCCGAAATCTCCCCTCAAAAGGCCCGAGTTCAAGTTCACCACATTCGCTCCTTTCGAGCATTGGAGCGGATTGCCAAGACCTTCCTGGACGATGATACCTAGGTCTCGTTCACTAGCCATCTGATGCAAAATGTGCTGTCCCAGAAGATATGTGTTGATGAACTGCTACGCACCGTCAGCAGGTGACACTTTGAGGAGTTCACTGGGAGCTGCTTCGTTTCTGCCCAATTGTCAATCCGATCCAGATGGTTCTGGAGATAGACACGGTCGGGTGCTGAAGGAATTGCTCTCCATATATTAGCATCATCTTCAAATATCTGCATCGGCAATAACATGTTTTTTGGGTAGTCATTTATGTAAAGTGAAAACAAAGTAAAAACAATAGCGGGCCGAGGACGCATACTTGCGTTACCCCACTGGATACACACAGGTTTTTGATTGAGTGTTGGCTATTCTCACCTTGATGGTTCTGTATTGTAAGTAACCATCCAACCAGGTGAGCAGAGAACCGGTGCTACGGTACGCAGCAAACATTTACAGGAGAACCGAGGGATTGACCCTGTCGAGTAACTTAGAAAAATCTAAGTAAACCACATCTACTGGGGACTTCTTCATCAGTTGCGTCGACCAATGGAACAATGGTATAATAGGAATAAAAATAGCCAAAACTTGACAAATCCCGTGGGACGGTTTGTGGGAAGAACGTTAGTTCAATCAAGTTACACGAAAGTGAATAACATATCTGTGGACACCATATTATGCACATTAACACATAGGTATATCCGTCTACCCCGATGTCGTGGGGTTGGTGAGCACAATGTTTGCCTGCGTCTTGTCGTCACTCAGTGAATAGAAATAAGATCAAGTAGTCTAAATGATGCAAAGCATCATCCAGTCATTTTTTAAGATGGATAGCGTGGGCACTGAAAGGAAAAAAGTCGAAAGAGCGTTCCACGGTTGACAAACTCGAAGGGAAAAATAATTCCGGCAGCACTCAAGCCGACTGTGTTGGATGACAAGTTTCAATTTACGACCCCCTAAATTTTGTGTCGCAGCTAACTTTCAGAAGGCGGCGGCAAGTGTGACCGGGATTTTTCAAAACCTGGAACGCCAGGATGAGGTCACGCCGTAGACGGCGATGCCTAGCACTGTACACTCCCAGTGCTTTCAGTCGCCTATGGTATTACAGGTGGGACAACCCCTTCACATTTTTCGTTGCCCGTCGCTGTGCGATCTCCAGTGTAACCAGGTCGCCTTTTAACCAAGCCTGGATCGCGTACTCTACATGGGGCCTCACATACTCATTGAGCATTTTGAGGAAGATGGAGGGATCGAACTACTTGAACACCCTCCGTAACAGACCAACATTGTTCGCGGTTTTAGACGCCTTCAGGGACTGTGCCGAACAGCCGAGATCATCTTGCATCATCATCCCAAGGTCTCGCTCTTGTGAGGCGATTTTCAGAATGTCGTCTCCAAGCTTATATGTGTACGTGGGCTTGTGGCGGACATGCACGTTTTGCACCTGTTCGTGTTAAACGGAAATAGATTTACCTTTGACCATTTAAAAACGCAGTCTAAGTCTTGTTGCAACATATCGCGATCTTCGTGACAGTCGAGTGCACTCCATATCTTGATATCATCAGCAAAAAGCAGGAACTTCGACTTGATGACATTCGCGAGGTCGTTAATGAAGAACAAGAATAACCCCGGCCCCGACACAGCACTTTGTGGAACACCACAATCCACCCCAATTGGATTAGAAAATGTACCTCGAACTCGAACCTGAAGGCACCGCTGAAAGCGGAAGTTTCAGATCCTTTCAAGGACAGGGTTCCCAACTCCGTTTGCTTGCAGCTTTTGGAGGAAGATGCGGTGATCTATGCGGTCGAATACTTTGAAAAGTCTAGGTAGATGACCTCAATGTCGGTCCCACTGTCGGTAATCTCGGCCCAGCTGCCACGGGCAAGCAGTAGGTTGGTAGTACATGACCGATGCTGACGGAATCCAATGTTGCTCCGGTGGTATACTGTCAGACCTTTCGAAGTAGCCCATTACAGCCTCAGCTATGATAGATTCCATCACCTTAGAGAGCACCAAGAGCAGAATCACTGGGCGAGAGTTGGCTGGCTCTGAACGATTAGCACTTTTGAAAATCGGGATAAAGATGCCTTGCTTCTACATGCTAGGGACTTACTGCTCATCCAGGCAAATTTGGAAAAACCTAGTTAGTGGTTCAACAGTCCTCGTAGCTGCCACCTGCAGCGCTTTCGGGGGAATGTTGCCAACTCCAGGGGAAACAGGGGTGCACAAAG